AAAGACGTTAGTTTCTACGCTAGTTTTTTAATTTTCATTTGATTGAGTTTTTAAAATAACGTGAAAAATTTAAAAACCAAAAAAATCAAATTTTTCCCTTGGATTTAAAGGGTTTAAAGTTAGGTGAAAAAAAAGACCAAATGTTTTAAACGTTGCCTTTTTTTAAAACCATTTAGTTTTCCCTGTTTTATTCCAAAAGTCATCAAATTTATTTTTTTTTTGTTGAAAAGACGTGGAACCCCAATTTGTTCAACCCCGTTTTTTTTCCCCGGGGGTGGTTTTTCAATGTTTGTGTTCCTCTAGTAAGAATAGATACAAAAATAAATTTTTTTACCTTAAATTTAAAGTTTTTTGTGGGCCTCTGTGGCCCCCATGCACACCATTTCGATGAGTATCTGGGGCTGTCTTTCAGAAACTTCCCGAAACTTGGGGGTGGGGCTGGCAAGGAGTTTTCTGCTCCCGGTTCCCGTACCTCCACCAGGGGGTGTTTTTTTTGTGCTGCTACTTTTGTAATGCTGCCTTATGTGGGTCTCAAGTAGGAAGGGCAAGGCAGATCAGACGGACTTCCCGGGGTTTTTTGCTTTTTTTTCAGTGCAAGATCACAGGCCACATTCCCCGGGCCGCTAGGGAGTGAGTTGACTTGGGTGTGATGTTTGGGGAGGGTTCAGGTGGACAAAGACCCCTTTTGCAATGGGCCCGCAGTTAAATTGTCCACAGGGGGAGGGTAATTTATCCTTTGGCATTCTTTCACACAGGGGACCCCAGGTCTATGGAGCCCCAAAGAGAAAGAGGAAGGGAGAAAAGTTTAGTCTTTTTCAACCGGGTTGTTCAATTCCAAAAACCCAAAACCCCCCCAAAGGCCCTAAATGAGGGCCTAAGTTCAGTGTTTTGGAATGGGATTGCCATTTCTCTTTTTTATGTCCTGACAAGGCACGAGTGGGGGGTTTCTGTTTTCCTCTAAAAAATAGTGTTTTTTTTGGCCAAAGTTTTTTTGCCATACATAGCCCGGTTGAAAGAATTGGCTTAATCATTTAGTTTTTCACCCCCCAGGCTGGTATAGTTTACTCTACCGGTTTTCCTGGGGCACTTTAAAAAAACTGTTTTTTTGGGGAAGCTTGGGCTCTCCCTTTCTGTTTCCCTTCCTCCTTGTTTTTTTCCCCCCTTTGTTTTGGTTTTTTTCTGTAAAGTGGGGGTTTTTTCCCCATTTTGTGGGTGTGGTTTGGAGTGGAAACGGGGGGGGTGCTTTAGGGTTCCTCTCCCGTGCCTGGGGTTGTTTCCCTGATTTTCCCGCCTACCAGCTGTTCCCATTCTTAAACAAAACCCTTCCAACCCCAAAATAAATTCTGGGCATGGCTCTCCACCGGGGCCAGATCGTTTTTTTTTTAATAGAAAAGGGGGGAAAAATTGGTCCCCCAAATAAAGTTTAATTAATTTTTTTTGTCTTCAGCCGGGGTTTTTACTTTTCCTTTTAACCCGTCGTTTTTTTGTTTCAGTTTAAAATACCTCCCAACAGCCTGCCTTCCTGCCCCTGCCGCCTGCCGCCTCAGCCTCTCCTTCCCCCCGGAGCCGACTAGCCCCCTCTGTTTTCCCTTTTTTTCGTTGTTTTTTTGGGCAACTTGAAAATTTGTTAAAATAATTTTTTTTTCCTTTCCCCTCCCTTGTCCCTGTTTTTGGGTTTTTTTCTGAGTTGGGGGGGTTAAACCCACGTAAAAAAAAACAGGGAGAAGATCACCTAAATACATTTTAAAAAATTGTATAAATAACTCAAATGATAAAATTTTTTTGGGCATCTTAGCAATCTTGAAGGATCCCCATTTTGGTCAGAAAAGGAAAAATTTTTTTAATGAAAGTATACAAAAAAACTTTGCGGAGCCAAATTTAACCCGACAAACCCTTAGAAAAAAAAAAAATAAAAAATATTGGAACCAAGACTTAAAAAAAAAAAGACATTGGCACAAAATGGAGGGGGGTGTTGGAAAAAAAAACAACGAAATTTCAGTTAAAGAAAATTTACGGCCCTTTCCAAATAAAAGTAATTAAAAGAATTTTAATAAAAGACAAAATTTTCACAAATTTCCTTTCAGTTTTAATGGCATAGTCATGTTTTAAATGTAAAAAATTAAAAAAGGGTGCACACTAAAAACCCAAACCAGATGGGATGCTGTGTCGCTGGCAGAATGCTGGTGGTAACCATGATGGTTAAGTGTGCCTTGAATTCTAAATAAATCACAGACAATGTCATCAGCAAAGCACCCCCACAACCATCACACACCTCCTCCTCCATGCTTCACGGTGGGAACCCCACATGCGGAGATCATTCGTCACCTACTCTGTGGCTCACAAAGACACGGCGGTTGGAAACCAAAAAATCTCTAATTTGGACTCATCAGACCAAGTACAGATTTCAAACCAGTCTAATGTCCATTGCTCGTGTTTCTTGGCCCAATCAAGTCTCTTCTTATTATTGGTGTCCTTTGGTAGTGGTTTTTCTTTGCAAGCAATTCGACCATTAATGCCTGATTACGCAGTCTCCTCTGAACAGTTGACGTTGAGAATGTGTCTGTTACTTGAACTCTGTGAAGCATTTATTTGGGTGCAATTTCTGAGGCTGGTAACTCTAATGAACTTATCCTCTGCAGCAGAGGTAACTTTGGGTCTTCCTTTCCTGTGGCGGGTCCTCATGAGAGTCAGTTTCATCATAGCGCTTGATGGTTTTTTGCGACTGCACTTGAAGAAACTTTCAAAGTTCTTGACATTTTCCATATTGACTGACGTTCAGGTCTTAAAGTAATGATGGACTGTCATTTATCTTTGCTTATTTGAGCTGTTCTTGCCATAATATGGCTCACATCAACACCATTATCCCAGAAACCCTAGGCCCACTAAATTTGCATATCGCCCCCAACAGATCCACAGATGATGCAATCTCTATTGCGCTCCACACTGCCCTGTCACACATGGACAAAAGGAACACCTATGTGAGAATGCTATTCATTGATTACAGCTCAGCGTTCAAGACCATAGTGCCCTCAAAGCTCATCACTAAGCTAAGGACCCTGGGACTAAACACCTCCCTCTGCAACTGGATCTGGGACTTCCTGACGGGCCGCCCCCAGGTGGTAAGGGTAGGTAACAACACATCCGCCACGCTGATCCTCAACACGGGGGCCCCTCAGGGGTGCGTGCTCTGTCCCCTCCTCTACTCCCTGTTCACTCATGACTGCATGGCCAGGCACGACTCCAACCCATCATTAAGTTTGCCGATGACACAACAGTGGTAGGCCTGATCACAGACAACGACAAGACATCCTATAGGGAGGTCAGAGACCTGGCCGTGTGGTGCCAGGACAACAACCTCTCCCTCAACGTGATCAAGACAAAGGAGATGATTGTGGACTACAGGAAAAATAAGCAAGCCATTGGCATTTGGGTCACTGAAAACGTTTCCTTAACTTAAATAAAAGAGGGAGAGGAATAACTCAACTTTGCTCATTAAAAGAAAGAGGAAGGAGGCTTACTTCAAGGGTTTGTCGATTAAGAAATGGAGGAAAAAGGGATAAACTGCCCTTTCTTACACATATGTGCTGGATTTATGTTAGCTACAACCTCATCCACAGGCTAATTGCTACCGAGACACAGCTGGTAGATTGACTATAACCTTCTCCCCTGGTTCATTGATAATGAACACTCCTACTGGGCACAGACGTCATTTCAACATCTAGTTCTGATTTACATTTGGTTGAGTTGTCAACGTAAATTCAACATTAAAAATGTTTACCATGTCATTGAATTTAGGTTAGAAAATACAAAATTCCCTTACGTTGATTACTTTTTGCAAATCCAAGCAGTTTTCCATGTTGACTCAATGTCATCGCATAGAATTTTGGTGTTGAAACAACGCTGATTCAACCAGTTTTTGATCAGTGGGTTAATTTATTAATTAATATGGCCATTTAGCAGACGCTTTTATCCAAAGCGACGTACAGTCATGCGTGTATACATTTTTGTGTATGGGTGGTCACGGGGATTGAACCCACTACCTTGGCGTTACAAGCGCCGTGCTCTACCAGCTGAGCTAACCGAGGACCGGTTGTTAGTTACATGATCATGTTTTCATTCATAAGCAGTAAATCATTATTCAGTTCTGTATTATACTTTGCATGATTGTGTTGCATGATATTACCCCATTTGTATAGGCTTGGGGACACACATGCGATTTTGGGAGGGATTTTTTACTATATTTATTTATGAGGATCTCTTTTAGCCCACCAAGGGCTAGTCTTGCAAGATTCATTTATGTATGTCAAAAATGTTTGGAAATAGTATAGAGCAGGGGTATTCAACTCTTACCCAATGAGATCCGGTGCCTGTTGGTTTTCTGTTCTACCTGATAATTAATTGCGTACACCTGGTGTCCCAGGTCTAAATTGTTCCTGATTAGAAGGGAACAATGAAAAAACGCAGTGGAACTGGCTTCGAGGTCCAGAGTTGAGTTTGAGGGGTATAGAGTATGGAAATGTACTATTGATAAAATACATCGTAAGAATGAAATGTTCCCTTGTGTGATATCATAAAGTACTTCCAAGAGGTCTGGACCTTAAGAACTTAGCGGCCCAAATGATACTTACACTGCCGGGTTGCTAGTTCAAGCCCATAATGCTGTGTTATGATAGGGAGTTATCATCTGAGTGTGTTTTTGTATGTGTGTGCATGAAACGAATGTGTGTGTGTCTATACCTGTCTGTGTGCATGTTTACTTTTTTATTTTACATTTTAGTCCTTTAGCAGACGCTCCTATCCAGAGCGACTTACAATATTGAGTGCATATATTTTCATACTTTTTTGTCCTTTGTACTATGTGTGTGTGCATGACTCAACAAAATATGATCCCTTATTGAACATCCATGTTTACCTCTTACCTCCTCCCTACTGGTTAATCATTCATCATTAGCGTCTGGAGTACCAGGGAAAAGTGGGGAAAAGGTCAGGATTAAAGTCCACCTGATATTAGGTGAAGCCAGCAGGTCAGACATTCAGTCGGAGGTTGTTTAAGCCACGTACTACCCAGAGATGGCGATAGTTTTGGGGGCTTACACGTTGGGGCTGCTGGGGGTAAGCCTCTTCGTTTCAATGCTGACCTACGCCACCTACCAGCTACTCAGCAGTTATCTGTATAAATGGAGGGAGATGAAGCCCATACCAGAGATTGAAGGCACATACCCCCTCATAGGGAACGCACTGCAGTTCAAAGCCAACGCTGGAGGTGAGACAGTGAGAGGTTATGAGAAAAAATAGGAAATGAGAAGGGTATTTTGAAGAGGTGGTACTTTTATCAGTTTAACATTTGGGTTCTAATCATGATGACTTAAATTATGCCAGCCTTTCCATAATATCTTTATTTAAGAAATACTTTTTAACATTAAAGAAATAAAATAAATCCATTGATTCAGAAGATTTGTGAATCAAATATCCCATTTGAACGGTGAATCACATTAATCTGTCCTAGAAATGAGACTGATGTCATTAACACAATATATTGTCTGCATTGTTGCTGCACTGAGATTCGTGTAAATGTGACATAGTCTTCACAATCCATGCGCCACATCACAACAAAAATTATCATGCTACACATTAGCAACTTCTTCTGTGGTTTATCTACTTCCGTTCCTGATACCGCACGCCAAAGCAATGCACAAGTTGGAAAAAATCCAATACATGTGACACTGCACGTAGTGCCAGGCACCACATCCTAGTCCGGCAGATGAGTCGCAGCGGTGTGAATTTGCCTCCCATTGGATTTAATGGACTTCCGCCGGAACATATACAGTTTGATGCAACCGGTGTGCACGAGGCTTTAAGCCTCATTCATATTACATCTGAGCAGTCCATTGTGTTGCGCCGGATGTCATTCATTTCAATGGGGACAGTCCGCAATGGAGTGGTATCACAGTGGCATCTCAGTGCCCCCTTGAGGTTGAAGCTTCTGTTGCTAAACGGATTCCGCATACATAATTTTTTGCTGAACTTTGCGTTGTCTTTAGTGAAGCCAGAGTCTGTTAATAGAACAGGAAATTACCAAAGCACAGAAGACTATGAAAATATATGGTTTTCGGTGATGCTAGCTAGCTGATCTGTACACTAGCTTGACTTGCTAGAAGTTAGAGAAACAAGTTGAGAAAAAGTAGCTTGACGAAACATGTTTTACTATCACCTGAAACAATATGTTTATCCTGTCTTGAATGAAAATATCTTATTTTGAAATCTCCCAAAATAAATGCGGTCTCTGACGAGAGACTAGCCTCTCCTCCATCTTGTCTTGCGTTGTGAAACCCTATGCTTTCCATCCAGTAGCGGACCAAGATTGCGTGATGATGAAGTATGGAGTAATGAAACACGTCACAATGTGTACGGGGCATTAGACCATGTGACTGTAAAATACTTTAGAGGGCCCCAGTTTACGGCCAAGGAATGGGCGACCAACAGTTAAAACTATTGTACTAAGTTTTTTCTTCTATAACTTCATAAAGAGGAAGCATCGATCTAGATTCTAGAGAATTATGAATGTGCAAGGCAGCATTGTAAATAACATCCAAATGGTTTCTATCCAAATGAAACATCACAAATGTTTAAATATTTGTCAATATATGCGCGTGTGCTTATTCAGGTGTGTGCATGACAAAAATATTGTCCCTTAATAAACATACATGTTTACATCCCCCTCCTATTGGTTAATCATTCATCATAACTAGTGGCTGGAATTACAGTAGTTTAGGGAGGGGATCTTGAAAAGCACTCACTCATTCATTCATTGTCATTCATTGATCTTCCAATCTACCCACATACTGTATGTAGTCATCAGATAGTCAGAAGCTTGAACTAGTGAATGACTTCAGAGAGTTCTCTTTCTTTGGTTTCAGATTTCTTCCGTCAAGTCATTGGCTACACAGAGCAGTTCAGGGATTCCCCACTGTTAAAGATTTGGATCGGACCAGTACCCATCCTCCTTCTGTTCCATGCAGAAACCATTGAGGTAGGCGTATTAATCAAAGAATTGATTTGCATCAACTTGATGCATAACACTTGTATGTTTTGCAAAGTGTTTAAATAAGGTGAAACATACAAGTTGGTGTTACACTTTTTTTGAAACCTCAACATTTCTGCCTACTGAACACTCTGGAGATTGAAATCTACTCTTCATATAAAGTAGTAATTCCACCACATACTGGTAGCCTGACAATCAAGATATGGTAACTGCTATCAAAGCCCATTATGCTGCTTTGGGTACAAGTGTGCCAAAGCAAACACACTGTATTGAATACTAGAGGAAGAGTCAAATTTTCCATAAAAACATTATTTACTAAAGCAAAAAAATTAACTTTGCTTTAAAAAAGTTAGGGTTTTACGTATGATATATATTTGCTGGTAACTGTCTGTTTGTTGATGATGCCATGCCAATGACCAACGTTCCCTCTGTGAAAAATAAATTAACTATATTGTGTTCTATTTTCTATTCTATTCTATTTGATTGTCTATTTGATTCTATTTATTCTGTTTTATTCTATAGACAGTTTTGAACAACCCTGTTCATATGGACAAAGCCTATGCTTACAAGTTCCTGCAACCTTGGCTCGGCACTGGTCTACTAACCAGGTGGGTGTCCCAAAACAGATCACATTCGAGAAAGATCAAACGTATATGCATTTGAGACTACAGAAAATATGTATTATAAAACAAGATAGGAACATAATTCTTAGATAAGCCTTCGATCATTGTTGGGGAAATAACAATACATTCTGAGAAACGTCAATACTTTCCAATATTTTCTGAACTCCGTCTCACTCTGTATCACTTACTCTGCATCTCCCTCTCTCTGCTTCCCTTCCTTTTCTATCTGTCTGATTCTCTTTCTTTGCCACCCTCCCTCTGTCTCTCTCTTCCTCTATTTCTCCCCCCTCCCTCTGTTCCCCACCTCCCTCTCCCCAGCACGGGGAACAAGTGGCGGCGGCGGCGGAAGTTGCTCACCCCCACCTTCCACTTCTCCATCCTGACGGAGTTCCTGGAGGTGATGAACGAGCAGGCCGAGGTGCTGGTGGAGAAGCTGGACAAGGTGGCAGGCAAGGGCCCCTTCAACTGCTTCAACCACGTCACCCTCTGTGCCCTCGACATCATCTGTGGTGGGTCTGGATGTGGGGTGATTCTAGCGGGTCCAAAGGCTCAATGGGTTAAAAAGATTTCACATTCTTGTGGCCATTTCAAGTCAACTAAAAGATCTATCAAAATTGCAACCAATCTTGCAATAAATATCTCTGTATATGATTTTCCTTTCAGAGACTGCAATGGGGAAGAAAATCTACGCTCAGAGTAACTATGACTCAGAGTATGTCCAATGTGTGTACAAGTGAGTGCCTCGTCCTGAATGCAACAGACAGATGTTGTCATGCCCAGTGTTGTTTTGAAGTAGAGGGTATCGACGGCCGACCATTGCTCACTGTCCCTGCATCTCTCTCTCTCTCTCAGTTTCCCCCTCCTTCTCTCCTTCTGTCTGCACTGTTGGTAGTTGGTTGCAAGTAGTAGCTGTCTTGTACCACGCATGTTGTTAAACTCTGTAAATGCTACAAATAAACAGACTTTTGGGGACAATATTCATTGCAAGAAAATGTAATGGAGCGGAATCAACTTGCATCAAATTAATATCATTTTCTCTCCCTCGCATCCCTCCTACTGTCCCCAGGATGAGTGACATCATCACACGGCGACAGAGGATGCCGTGGTTCTGGCCCGACTTTTTCTACAACTACTTTGGCGAGGGCTGGGAGCATAACAGGAGCCTCAAGGTCCTCCACTCGTTCACCTCCAATGTGAGTCATCAGTCAATCAATCAAAAAGGGGCTTTCAACTATTTAGCTGCACCCAGGGAAATAAGATGTCATCCATCAGCCCCCATCCATCCAGCCAAGGGCCTGTTCAGAACGATGGCCATTACAGAATGTTCAGATAGAAATGTATTGTGTAGAACATAAATGATTGTCTGTACGATAGAATAAGAAATCCCGTCAGCGCTATTCATTCTCTTTCTATCTGCAACGTTCAGAACGCATGATGTCAAGTGTTTTCACTGAATACACCCCAGGTGATCTACGAGAGGGCGGAGTACATTGCCTACATCGAGTCGGACAGCGAATCGGACCAGGGCATGAGGAAGAGGCGGGCCTTCCTGGACATGCTTCTGAAGACCACGGACGAGGAGGGCAACAAGCTCACCCACCAGGACATCCAGGAGGAAGTGGACACCTTCATGTTCAGGGTCAGAGGTCAAAACCTCTATCACTCCATGTAGAATGTATTACAGATTTATCATTGGTGTTATTTTTATTGCCCCCGTCTTGCAGGGTCATGACACTACAGCCGCAGCCATGAATTGGGCCATTCACCTGCTGGGCTCCCATCCAGAGGTGCAGAGGAAGGTTCAACAAGAGCTGCAGGAGGTGTTCGGTAATCCCCCCCTCTTTTCTAACCCTTTATTTTCTCAACCCTTTACTGCCTGGTGTTGCAGTATGGCAACATATCATTTCTCTTCACCTCTTGCTTCCCTGAATGAAAAATTATAAACACCATTGCTTTTTACAGAAGGGGGGGGGAGGGGGTGTAGACTAGCCAATTATGTGCTTAGGTAAAGTCACATAACATGCACCCACATGGAGCTCCCTTTCATAAATGCATTCCACATTGTTCTCATAAAGCAATCATTTTTACATTTCCCCTTCAATGAAAAATGTAAACTCAATCTCATGTTAGTTAAGAGGTGATATTAAACATTACATCCAATTTCCCTAGAATTTGTTCTTGGGAAATTGATCAAATGCATTTGTTGGCAATCGGCAACACTGTGTGATAGTTGAACTGCAATTCAGTTGATAGGGGCCAGGCAAAAGACAGTGAAAATATAATTTTCAGATTTTTTGGCGTAATATTGATATATTTTTAGAAAGATAACATATATTTGTTATATACAGTGGGGGAAAAAAGTATTTAGTCAGCCACCAATTGTGCAAGTTCTCCCACTTAAAAAGATGAGAGAGGCCTGTAATTTTCATCATAGGTACACGTCAACTATGACAGACAAAATGAGAAAAAGAAATCCAGAAAATCACATTGTAGGATTTTTTATGAATTTATTTGCAAATTATGGTGGAAAATAAGTATTTGGTCACCTACAAACAAGCAAGATTTCTGGCTCTCACAGACCTGTAACTTCTTCTTTAAGAGGCTCCTCTGTCCTCCACTCATTACCTGTATTAATGGCACCTGTTTGAACTTGTTATCAGTATAAAAGACACCTGTCCACAACCTCAAACAGTCACACTCCAAACTCCACTATGGCCAAGACCAAAGAGCTGTCAAAGGACACCAGAAACAAAATTGTAGACCTGCACCAGGCTGGGAAGACTGAATCTGCAATAGGTAAGCAGCTTGGTTTGAAGAAATCAACTGTGGGAGCAATTATTAGGAAATGGAAGACATACAAGACCACTGATAATCTCCCTCGATCTGGGGCTCCACGCAAGATCTCACCCCGTGGGGTCAAAATGATCACAATAACGGTGAGCAAAAATCCCAGAACCACACGGGGGGACCTAGTGAATGACCTGCAGAGAGCTGGGACCGAAGTAGCAAAGCCTACCATCAGTAACACACTACGCCGCCAGGGACTCAAATCCTGCAGTGCCAGACGTGTCCCCCTGCTTAAGCCAGTACATGTCCAGGCCCGTCTGAAGTTTGCTAGAGTGCATTTGGATGATCCAGAAGAGGATTGGGAGAATGTCATATGGTCAGATGACACCAAAATATAACTTTTTGGTAAAAACTCAACTCGTCGTGTTTGGAGGACAAAGAATGCTGAGTTGCATCCAAAGAACACCATACCTACTGTGAAGCATGTTGGTGGAAACATCATGCTTTGGGGCTGTTTTTCTGTAAATCGACCAGGACTACTAATCCGTGTAAAGGAAAGAATGAATGGGGCCATGTATCGTGAGATTTTGAGTGAAAACCTCCTTCCATCAGCAAGGGCATTGAAGATGAAACGTGGCTGGGTCTTTCAGCATGACAATGATCCCAAACACACCGCCCGGGCAACGAAGGAGTGGCTTCGTAAGAAGCATTTCAAGGTCCTGGAGTGGCCTAGCCAGTCTCCAGATCTCAACCCCATAGAAAATCTTTGGAGGGAATTGAAAGTCCGTGTTGCCCAGCGACAGCCCCAAAACATCACTGCTCTAGAGGAGATCTGCATGGAGGAATGGGCCAAAATACCAGCAACAGTGTGTGAAAACCTTGTGAAGACTTACAGAAAACATTTGACCTGTGTGGCAGGTAGCTTAGAGGTTAAGAGCATTGTGCCAGTAACCGAAAGGTCGCTGGTTCTAATCCCCGAGCAGACTAGGTGAAAAATCTGTCGATGTGCCCTTGAGCAAGGCACTTAACCCTAATTGCTCCTGTAAGTCGCTCTGGATAAGAGTGTCTGGTAAATGTAATATAACAAAGTATTGAGAAACTTTTGTTATTGACCAAATACTTATTTTCCACCATAATTTGCAAATAAATTCATAAAAAATCCTACAATGTGATTTTCTGGAGAAAAAAGTCTCATTTTGTCTGTCATAGTTGACGTGTACCTATGATGAAAATTACAGGCCTCTCTCATCTTTTTAAGTGGGAGAACTTGCACAATTGGTGGCTGACTAAATACTTTTTTCCCCACTGTATGCGTGGATTAAAAAAATTATAATCTTATTTATTTAAAAATATAAGATGGCCAGAGTAAATTATGCAGATAGTATGAAGGAATAAAAACAATCAAATTATAATTCAAACACCTCATTTATATATATATATAGAAAACACTGTTTTAAATGTTATTAATAGTTGCATATTGTTACCGTTGTCTCATAGTGTTGCCATACGGCAACAAATCAAAAAGTTAGTTAGTTAAAAAAACGAATCCAATATTTTATTGCATGGTTGTATCATAATGCATGCTGTAGAGTCAAACTCATTCCATGGAAGGCCTAGTTTCTGCAGGTTTTAGTTTTTTCCTTTCAAAGGAGCTAGAAACACAAGCATTTTGCTACACCCGCAATAACATCTGCTAAATATGTGTATGTGACCAATAAAATGTGATTTGATTTAGACAACCAGGTATGGGGAGATCCTCATCAATGAAGTACAAGGGAGGAGTGAAAACCCACAGCCACTCGGCCCTCCATGGAATGAGTTTGACACCTGTGTTAAAGTATTTTATTGCACTTGATTTAGACAATGGAGACTGGTAAGTGGGAGAGACAGTCCGACAGAAGGAGAAGCTGCTGGGATTGAACCCTGGTCTCGGAAGCGTATTTAGAGCAGCTGGACACATTACCGCTAGACCATGTGCTCTGCAGGAGGTACTTGGTAATTCTAACCGCTAGACCATGTGCTCTGCAGGAGGTGTTTGGTGATTCTAACCACTAGACCATGTGCTCTGCAGGAGGTGTTTGGTGATTCTAACCAGTAGACCATGTGCTCTGCAGGAGGTGTTTGGTGATTCTAATCCCATAGTCTCCCGTCACTATCCGTGACAAGTATCTCTATGACAGTAGATGCAGGTTTGGTTTAGTTACTGTGTTTGATGACAGACGAACATCACATCCATTCCTGTATCTCCATTCATAGATGTGTCCGATTGCCCCATCACTACAGAACATTTATAATGGGATGTAACATGCATTCTTGTACCCCTGTGCTCAGGTGTGTCCGACCGGCCAGTAAACACAGAGGATCTGAAGAAGCTGCGCTACCTAGAATGTGTCATCAAAGAGTCCCTGCGCCTGTTCCCCTCTGTCCCCTTCTTTGCCCGCAGCATCGGTGAAGACTGCCACATCAGTGAGTGACATTCATTTTTTAGGGGGTAGATCAGCTTTAATATTGCAGATAGATTGTAACTTTCATCAATGTTATTGTCTGCATCACTTCCAATCCCCCATATTCCCCCCCCACAAATATATATATATATATATATATATATATATATATACAGTGGGGAAAAAAACTATTTAGTCAGCCACCAATTGTGCAAGTTCTCCCACTTAAAAAGATGAGAGAGGCCTGTACTTTTCATCATAGGTACACGTCAACTATGACAGACAAAATGAGGGAAAAAATTCCAGAAAATCACATTGTAGGATTTTTAATGAATTTATTTGCAAATTATGGTGGAAAATAAGTATTTGGTCAATAACAAAAGTTTCTCAATACTTTGTTATATACCCTTTGTTGGCAATGACACAGGTCAAACGTTTTCTGTAAGTCTTCACAAGGTTTTCACACACTGTTGCTGGTATTTTGGCCCATTCCTCCATGCAGATCTCCTCTAGAGCAGTGATGTTTTGGGGCTGTCGCTGGGCAACACGGACTTTCAACTCCCTCCAAAGATTTTCTATGGGGTTGAGATCTGGAGACTGGCTAGGCTACTCCAGGACCTTGAAATGCTTCTTACGAAGCCACTCCTTCGTTGCCCGGGCGGTGTGTTTGGGATCATTGTCATGCTGAAAGACCCAGCCACGTTTCATCTTCAATGCCCTTGCTGATGGAAGGAGGTTTTCACTCAAAATCTCACGATACATGGCCCCATTCATTCTTTCCTTTACACGGATCAGTCGTCCTGGTCCCTTTGCAAAAAAACAGCCCCAAAGCATGATGTTTCCACCCCCATGCTTCACAGTAGGTATGGTGTTCTTTGGATGCAACTCAGTATTCTTTGTCCTCCAAACACTACGAGTTGAGTTTTTACCAAAAAGTTATATTTTGGTTTCATCTGACCATATGACATTCTCCCAATCCTCTTCTGGATCATCCAAATGCACTCTAGCAAACTTCAGACGGGCCTGGACAGGTACTGGCTTAAGCAGGGGGACACGTCTGGCACTGCAGGATTTGAGGCGTAGTGTGTTACTGATGGTAGGCTTTGATACTTTGGTCCCAGCTCTCTGCAGGTCATTCACTAGGTCCCCCCGTGTGGTTCTGGGATTTTTGCTCACCGTTCTTCTGATCATTTTGACCCCACGGGGTGAGATCTTGCGTGGAGCCCCAGATCGAGGGAGATTATCAGTGGTCTTGTATGTCTTCCATTTCCTAATAATTGCTCCCACAGTTGATTTCTTCAAACCAAGCTGCTTACCTATTACAGATTCAGTCTTCCCAGCCTGGTGCAGGTCTACAATTTTGTTTCTGGTGTCCTTTGACAGCTCTTTGGTCTTGGCCATAGTGGAGTTTGGAGTGTGACTGTTTGAGGTTGTGGACAGGTGTCTTTTATACTGATAACAAGTTCAAACAGGTGCCATTAATACAGATAACGAGTGGAGGACAGAGGAGCCTCTTAAAGAAGAAGTTACAGGTCTGTGAGAGCCAGAAATCTTGCTTGTTTTTAGGTGACCAAATACTTATTTTCCACCATAATTTGCAAATAAATTCATTAAAAATCCTACAATGTGATTTTCTGGAATTTTTTTCCTCAATTTGTCTGTCATAGTTGACGTGTACCTATGATGAAAATGACAGGCCTCTCTCATCTTTTTAAGTGGGAGAACTTGCACAATTGGTGGCTGACTAAATACTTTTTTCCCCCACTGTATATATATATATATATATATACACTGCTCAAAAAAATAAAGGGAACACTTAAACAACACAATGTAACTCGAAGTCAATCACACTTCCGTGAAATCAAACTGTCCAATTAGGAAGCAACACTGATTGACAATACATTTCACATGCTGTTGTGCAAATGGAATAGACAACAGGTGGAAATTATAGGCAATTAGCAAGACACCCCCAATAAAGGACTGGTTTTGCAGATGGTGACCACAGACCACTTCTCAGTTCCTATGCTTCCTGGCTGATGTTTTGGTCACTTTTGAATGCTGGCGGTGCTTTCACTCTACTGGTAGCATGAGACGGAGTCTACAACCCACACAAGTGGCTCAGGTAGTGCAGCTCATCCAGAATGGCACATCAATGCGAGCTGTGGCAAGAAGGTTTACTGTGTCTGTCAGCGTAGTGTCCAGAGCATGGAAGCGCTACCAGGAGACAGGCCAGTACATCAGGAGACGTGGAGGAGGCCGTAGGAGGGCAACAACCCAGCAGCAGGACTGCTACCTCCGCCTTTGTGCAAGGAGGAGCAGGAGGAGCACTGCCAGAGCCCTGCAAAATGACCTCCAGCAGGCCACAAATGTGCATGTGTCTGATCAAACGGTCAGAAACAGACTCCATGAGGGTGGTATGAGGGCCCGACGTCCACAGGTGGGGGTTATGCTTACAGCCCAACACAGTGCAGGACGTTTGGCATTTGCCAGAGAACACCAAGATTGGCAAATTCGCCACTGGTGCCCTGTGCTCTTCACAGATGAAAGCAGGTTCACACTGAGCACGTGACAGAGTCTGGAGACGCCGTGGAGAACGTTCTGCTGCCTGCAACATCCTCCAGCATGACCGGTTTGGCGGTGGGTCAGTCATGGTGTGGGGTGGCATTTCTTTGGGGGGCCGCACAGCCCTCCATGTGCTCGCCAGAGGTAGCCTGACTGCCATTAGGTACCGAGATGAGATCCTCAGACCCCTTGTGAGACCATATGCTGGTGCGGTCCTGGGTTCCTCCTAATGCAAGACAATGCTAGACCTCATGTGGCTGGAGTGTGTCAGCAGTTCCTGCAAGAGGAAGGCATTGATGCTATGGACCGCCCGTTCCCCACACCTGAATCCAATTGAGCACATCTGGGACATCATGTCTCGCTCCAGGTGGTGGATGCTTTAGTCCTGGTCTGGGATAAGATCCCTCAGGAGACCATCCACCACCTCATCAGGAGCATGCCCAGGCGTTGTAGGGAGGTCATACAGGCACGTGGAGGCCACACACACTACTGAGCCTCATTTTGACTTGTTTTAAGGACATTACATCAAAGTTGGATCAGCCTGTAGTGTGGTTTTCCACTAAAATTTTGAGGGTGACTCCAAATCCAGACCTCCATGGGTTGATAAATTTGATTTTCATTGATAATTTTTGTGTGATTTTGTTGTCAGCACATTCAACTATGTAAAGAAAAACGTATTTAAAAAGATTATTTCATTCAATCAGATCTAGGATGTGTTATTTTAGTGTTCCCTTTATGTTTTTGAGCAGTATATATATATATATATATATATATATATATATATATATATATATATATATATATATATTCATATACATGAATTACACATTCTTAACCATTAATGTTTATTTCAATCTGTCATTAATTCTCAAACTGATTTAAATTTACAGGATTAGGTATACACTACTTTTAATTAATACTAATTGATGTACATATTCACAATGGGTGGCCTGTGCCAAAATGGAAGTTGAACCTACAACCATGGTTTATCCAGCGTCTTTCCATTTCAGTCTTGTTTAGTTATTTTTTGTGGTTGTGTGTTAATTCTTCACGTGTACATTTTGTGGACCTAATAACCTAACTTGTGTTTCACATTTTTGCACCTGTAGATGGTTTCAAAGTTCCCAAAGGTGCCAATGCCATCATATTGACCTACTCCCTCCACCGTGACCCGCGCCACTTCCCCCAGCCTGAAGAGTTTCGCCCTGAACGCTTCATGCCGGAAAACTGCGTTGGGAGACATCCTTACGCCTTCATCCCTTTCTCTGCTGGACTCCGCAACTGCATCGGTAAGAATAGGAAACGTTCAAGACATTTTACTAAGTAGCACCAACGTTTTAGAAAATTGGTAAATCAACATCATTCCATTTGAGATGAACGACACAAGATTTGTCACGTTGATTTGTAGAATATCACTCAGGCTATATTTTGTCAGCTTGAAACATAAAATGTTTACTACAGTGGGCCTCTAAACGTGTGTCCAATGAGGTTGTCATCCTCACATACTCTCGCTACTTTAATAATGGTTACAGATTAAGGTTGAAGACAATAAGGCATTTGAAATAGTGAAAACAAAATGGACGATTAAAAGTGTGTCCGATGAAGATGTCATCCTCACATGCTTTTGTTACATCCCCCAGGTCAGCGCTTTGCCATGATGGAGGAAAAGGTGATCCTGGCATCCATCTTCCGCTACTTCAATGTGGAGGCGTGTCAGAAGCGGGAAGACATCCGTCCACTAGGGGAGCTCATTCTTCGCCCCGAGAAGGGCATCTGGATCAAACTTGAGAAGAGGAAGCAGCAGCAGTAGATAATCTAGGGAACTGTTTGAACACACCATTCCTTCCTCCCTCCTTTGGGAGTAATCGCTGATCTAACACTAATTGATAGGTGAAAGTAAATAGTTCTAGCACATACTGTAGGATACATTCTTAAAGTATTTAAACAGGGACGAATAAAACCCTTAACGCCTACCCAGTAGGCTTACATTGCATTCGTGTTCTCTCGGTATTACAGGAAAATCTGAATCTTGAGACTGCGAAACTCGCAGAAAGTTATTTTAATTGTCATAAACAGGTTTCTGATATTCAAAATCGTTTGAGTTTCCAAATGAAAAATAGGAGTGGGAAACTTGGGGAACATTTATTTTCCCAACATTGACTTTAGATAGCTCTGGTTTTTTACTTGTGAGCAGTGGAGGCTGGTGGGAGGAGCTATAGGAGGACTGGCTCATTGTAATGGCTGGAATGGCATTATTGGAACGGAGTCAAACATGTGGTTTACATAGTTTGATGCCGTTCCATTGATTCTATCCCGGCCATTACAATGTGACCAACCTCCTATAGCTCCTCCCACCAGCCTCAACTGCTTCTCAGGTATGGACCATATGAACACATAATTATACCACCAATAATATCTACCCTATCCAATAACACTTTATCACAACTTTCATTTATAGGCCATTAATAGGTCATTATAAGGCATGTGTTAACTTGAATATGTGTTCCTACTTTAATATGGTCAAAATGTTCACCAACATCACAGCTGCGTGTTTCACTTGTTTTTCAAGCTCTTGGGATGGTATCTTCTCTAATAACAAAAATGGCTGGATGTATAATTTAATAAAATAGTATTCTTAGTTGTGTATTTATTTGTTACAATGGGGGTTTGAATTAATCGAACATAGCTGAACTATGCCACCTTTTTAATATCATAATGTCAGGTCCTCAAAGCTAAAGTCAGGGAAGGAGCATGGTAATGAACAGGCCAGATATTGTACAAAATCGGGTTTATTTACAATCAGAAAAGAAAATGGACACCAACTTTTTCTTGCAAACAGAAATGAGTCTGGGTAGACAAGCATAGACAATGGAAGAATGTTGTGAGTTGGAATCCCCTATAATTGCATTATAAATGCATTCCATGCATCTACAATCACATTTGCATTAAGCAGAGGCATTTTTAGGACTTCCACACATGGGGAATATAATATTTCAGGTTCTGGAGAAAAAAATGCATTTTATATACGCATTTCTACATTATTTACATGATAGAAGACATTAGCAGAATCTTTTTTTATACCCCACACATTACAGAAATGAGTGGCTACTCTGACAGTGAAAACTCTGAGAGCAATAAAAACAACCTGGTCTTGAATGCAAACCAATAGCCCAGGCCAATGAAGAGAAACACAGACTGTACAATATTAGGAGGAATATCTATAAATATATATCTATATCATTTTTGATAATTGATTTAATTTATCATGGAGTGCTGCAGCACCTCCAGCACCCCCACTTATGTAGACAAGGAAGAGTCTGGGTAAATCCAAAACCCAGGATAGAGGGGCTCAGTGAATGTGGTGTAGAATGTGTGAAGGTGTTTCTGTTTACCAAAAGACACACTATAGAAGGACAAAGTACCAGCTGGCCAGTCAAGATACACACCAATTCTGTGCGTAACAGGGCCACGGAAGAATGTGATATTGGGTCCCGCATTGTTAAAGTAATAGTAACCTTCACCAGCGCAGTTCAAACTCCAGGACTTGGTATTTTGTCCAATCCAACTGTCAGACCCCCATCCCATCCGAGTCATTCCTTTGTAAGTCACTCCAATGTCAGGCTCTCCACCATCCCATACCACCTCCCAGTAATATCGAGATCCAGATAAGCCTTCTCTACAGAGAACTTGGGGATGCCATTGAAATCTGTCTCGATGGTCTTCATAATGCTGCTCTTTGTCCACCCGTGTCACCTTCCTGTTCTCCTCAGAGAGTAACAGGTGTGTGTTTGCTGTATTTGGGTCCATGGTGAGCTGACAGGCATCTGTAGACAAAGGGGATACATTGTCATACTCATTATCTCTAGCCCCCTACCAGTATATACAGTTGAAGTCGGAAGTTTACATACACCTTAGCCAAATACATTTAAACTAAAAAAATCCCTGTCTTAGGTCAGTTAGGATCACCACTTTATTTTAAGAATGTGAAATGTCAGAATAATAGTAGAGAGAATGATTTATTTCAGCTTTTATTTCTTTCATCACATTCCCAGTGGGTCAGAAGTTTACATACACTCAATTAGTATTTGGTAGCATTGCCTTTAAATTGTTTAACTTGGGTCAAACGTTTTGGGTAGCCTTCCACAAGCTTCCCACAATAAGTTGGGTGAATTTTGGCCCATTCCTCCTGACAGAGCTGATGTAACTGAATCAGGTTTGTAGGCCTCCTTGCTCGCACACGCTTTTTCAGTTCTGCCCACAAATGTTCTATAGGATTGAGGTCAGGGCTTTGTGATGGCCACTCCAATACCTTGACTTTGTTGTCCTTAAGCCAATTTGCCACAACTTTGGAAGTATGCTTGGGGTCATTGTCCATTTGGAAAACCCATTTGCGACCAAGCTTTAACTTCCTGACTGATGTCTTGAGATGTTGCTTCAATATATCCACAGCTTCTAAAGCCATGACATCATTTTCTGGAATTTTCCAAACTGTTTAAAGGCACAGTCAAATTCTGACCCACTGGAATTGTGATACAGTGAATTCTAAGTGAAATAATCTGTCTGTAAACAATTGTTGGAAAAACGACTTGTGTCATGCACAAAGTAGATGTCCTAACTGACTTGCCAAAACTATAGTTTGTTAACAAGAAATTTGTGGAGTGGTTGAAAAACGAGTTTTAATGACTCCAACCTAAGTGTTTGTAAACTTCCGACTTCAACTGTAAGTGAAACCAGTAACTTTCTATGTTCTGTAGTCAAAAATAAGAGAATTACTCTCAATGATGTAATCAGGAGTACAAAAAAACAGTGATTAATTTTTTGCAGTGACATGGAGAGCAGGCAGACACCCTCCTACTGGCTGGAAACTTGGTGTAGTTTTTGACAATCAGTTTTTTTATTACCGACGATGACATCATCAAGAGTTATTTTTTACTACAGCACACACAAAAGAAAATCGCAGTTTTAACATACAGCAGGACCTCGGAGATACGAACACGTCGTGAATAGAGGTCGTTCTAAATCCTGAAATGTTGGTACATTTTAAAAACACTCTTCGGGTTTGAGGTAAATCCAAAACCAGAGTTCTTTGAGGTTCTACTGCATGTAGACACTGGTATGGTTAAAGGGGCAATCTGCAGTTGCTACATACATTTTTGGACTTTTAAATTAACGATATACACTGAGCATACAAAACATTAAGAACACCTGCTCTTTCCATAACATAGCTTTCACCTGGATTCACCTAGTCAGTCTATGATCCCTTATTGATGTCACTTGTTAAATCCACTTCAATAGGTGTAGATGAAGGGGAGGAGACAGTTTAAAGAAGGACTTTTAAGCCAATTGAGAAATGGATTGTTTATCTGTGTCAACTCAATATTAGGAAAGTGTTAATGTTTGGTATACTCAGTGTATATTATATACCCATTGATTCTTGAATAATATAACTTATAAATGCCTCATAAGCTTAGTTCAATGGTCGTACCCCATCAGAACCCAAAATATAAGCTTGTTTACTCCAATGTTTGTGAACAAAATAATTGTAAACGAACACTGTATAGCCTCAAAACATGTTTAAAACTATAATTTATATGTCATTGATTGTCAGTCCTTGCATCCATAGCTCTATGAATTTGAAGTGGTTACATTTCTCCAGCCCCATCCCTCAGCTGTTTACCAAAAACGGTGGTGGGGTGACCTTCACATTACCCCTTCAATTAAGATTTCTTACACTGATAAGACATTATGAATATGATATTAAAATTGTTAAAATTGTTAATTCAACCACAAAAATCAAAATCATATAAAATGTTATTTTGTAGGTACAAGTATGTATTCATTACTATGTCACTATATCTGTAGTTCTGAAGATGCAGTTGATTACAATTGAAGGGACTTACATTTTCTCAGCCCGGATACCAGCCTGCACTCTGCACCGTGATCCACACTGTAGTAAAAACAACAACAACACAGTTATTACGTAACAAGGAACACCCATGAATACTTATGATAGATAGAAAAGCTCCTCACACTACAAGGTGTTACAGTATGCATAATTTTTTCTTACTTCAGCTTCATCGGTTTGCATGTGGGATCCCCTTGACCAGCTGAAAGCAGTCGCCCTGCAGAGTCTCCTGGGTGATTATAGCTCAGGTCCAGCTCTCTCAGGTGGGAGGGGTTTGACCTCAGAGCTGAAGCCAGAGCAGCACAACCCTCCTCTGTGACTTCACAGCCAGACAGTCTAAAGAGGGAGAGACACAACAGATGTGTAGGTTGGGGTAATGATCTACCATGTGGCATCTACACTACACATCTGTCCATGACACAAACATTACCAGACTTTGACAGACAATAATGATCACAAAAATATTGTAAAGAATTTCTAATTCACAACATTGTTCTTCTTTAAACAGCTGTACTTACCCCAGCGTCTGTAATTCACAGTTTGGTTCCTTCAGTCCAGCACACAGCAGTGTAACACCGGAGTCCTGCAGATTGTTGTCTCTCAGCTCCAGTTGTTTCAGTTGTGAGTTGGATGCCCTCAGGACTGAGGCCAGATATGAACAGCAACCCTCTGTCAGACCACATTGACCCAGACTGCAGCATGGGTTCACAAGAGTATGTTAAGGATGCATCCATGACAATTACAGATACACACACACACACACACACACACACACACAGTGCATTCGGAGAGCATTCAGACCCTTCCCTTTTTCCACATTTTGTTAGGTTACAGCCTTATTCTAAAATGGATTAAATAAAAAAACGTTCCTCAATCTACACACAATATCCCATGATGACAAAGCAAAAACTGGATTTAGAAATATTTGAAAATTTATAAAATAAAAAACAAATACTGTATTTACATAAAGATTCAGACCCTTTGATATGAGACAAAAAATTCAGCTCAGGTGCATCCTGTTTCCATTGATCATCCTTAAAATGTTTCTACAACTTGATTGGAGTCTACCTGTGGTAAAATTAAATTAATTGGACATGATTTGGAAAGCCATGTTAGAGCAAAAACCAAGCCATGAGGTCGAAGGAATTGTCCGTAGAGCTCAGAGACAGTATTGTGTCAAGGCACAGATCTGGGGAAGGGTACCAAAACATTTCTGCAGCATTGAAGGTCCCCAAGAACACAGTGGCCTCCATCATTCTTAAATGGAAGAAGTTTGGAACCACCAAGACTCTTCCTAGATTTCGCCGCCCGGCCAAACTGAGCAATTGGGGGAGAAGGGCCTTGGTCAGGGAGGTGACCAAGAACCCAGTCAAGAACCCAGTGGTCACTCTGACAGAGCTCTAGAGTTCCTCTGTTGAGATGGGAGAACCTTCCAGAAGGACAACCATCTCTG